AGTCGTTCGTCCTTCGGTCGCTTAGGCTTTTATGTATATAGATCCAGATACTTAGACTCCACATCACATCTAATGGAATCAAAATTTGTATTTTTAATAAATCCCTAGAGATTCTTATACATATTGAAATTGGAGAGACACAGGTGTAAACTTTATTTCCTCTTCCCAAGATGATGTAAGCTCTGTGACCACAGAAGCATTGTTTAGTTTATTGCCAGTGTCCGGCTCAGAGCTTTCAATAAATATATATTGGTTGAATGAATGAAACTCATCCATCAGTGGATAGGATACTCTACTCTTCATGACTTTTTGTTAAATTAAGACAGATAAGATTTGTTTATGTCAGCTTGCCAATTCTCAGCTTGCAAATGTTTTATGCATTACTATGAAACACAAAGAGGTTATATTGCCACACATACCTTTTTAACCTATCATCCTGGAAAAAAGGATGATATTTACAAAATATGCCTGCCAAACACAATTCATATGAGCTACCCCCAGTCATTTTTCATTTGCTACAATATTGCCCATTAATTATATGTAGCTTAACATCTGTAGTAAAACTCAATGGAAAAAATAAGCTTGAGCCAATGTGCATTTGGCAGCTTTGTTTTTTTGTTTAGACATTATCTAGATTTGGACATACAAGCTGTATGATAAAATGGGAACCTTGAATTTTTTGTGGTAGTGCTCAGGTTTGTTAGTAATAAGGCTATTTTTCCATTGTACATTCCTGTACTTTTGCATAGAACAATAATTGGCCTTCAAAGGGAATTTTCAGAAGTGGAAATTAAATAAAAGTGAGTAGAATAATAATAGCAAACATTTAATTTAGCAATATGTGCAAAGTTGGCTGACATGGCAGCATTCACACTAGACTTTAGACTTTTTAGGACAGTGGGATTGAGGAAAAGTCTCTGGTCTCAGGAATGGAGACAGCATCTAGTGCATTCTGTGGCATTGCAAATGGATCTTCCAGGCTGAATGTCAGACTCCAACCTGGGTGCAGTGTGGCTTTGAAGCTGAATTACCAGGGAAGCACCAGCCCTTCCCCGGGTGTGGTAAGAGCCTGGGATTCAGCACCTGAGCACGTGGCAGCACCTTGGTCCTAGAGCTGTTCTGCCTGTCCAGCATTTAGGATTGGGAGAACATCAAGACTTTCTCTGGTCTATCCAACAGGCTGGGGTATGAGTCTTGTGGTGGCCACAGGTATGATTCAGCAGCTCCGTTGTTTGTGATTGGAAATCCATTTAACATGGTAGAATAGGAACCTGGTTCATTTATTACCTCAAAACTCTACCAAGATTCATTGCCTGAAAGCTTTTTTCTCTGAAGCTTTCCAGGAGGCTAACTTATAGGGATGAATTCCTGTAAAAATTAATCCCTAAATCTCACCTATTAAATTAACCAATCTTCCGAACTCTCTTGAAGTATTGCTTTTACTAATGAATAAACCGCAGGTTTGTTGAAGAGCTAGATTCACACCCAGGAAGCTTGGCTCCAGAGGCTCGTAACTACGGAACGATGCTTTAAAGCTAACTCAAAATAAAAATAAAAACAGTACAGTAAATGCTGAATCCTAGGTGGGCAAAACCTCCACAGACGTCTAAAAATAACCATGAAGAAAAGTTTAACTGGCAACTCAAAATTTGGAAATAGTGAGTACTACTTAAAGGAGTATCTCAGGTGAAGATTTCTAAAAATAAAGATGGGGAGGCCCTGGCTGCTATCCTCTGGCTGAAGGCCCAGGTGCAGCACCCACAGGCTAGAGACAGCGCTGATCAAGGCAGTGACTGATGAGCTGACGGCCAGTCTCAGCCGTCAGTGGGCAGCAGTCATAGCTACAGAAGGTTCCCTTCAAAAGCCTGGATTTGCATTATAGAAAGTCTTTCCCTCCCAGCTTTATGAAGGTATATAATTGACAAATAAAAATTGTGTATATTTAAGATATACAACTTGATATTTTGCTATGCACTTTGAAATGATCACCACAGTCAAGCTAATGAACTTATCCATCACTCATATAGTTACCATTTCCTTCCTTTTTTTATTTGGTAAAAACACTTAAGCTTTACTTTCTGAGTAAATTTCAAATGTACATACAGTATTATTAATTACAGTCAACATGCTATACAGTAGAACTCCAGAATATGTTCATCTTGCATAACTGAAACTTTAAAAAAACTTAATTGGTAAAAGTATTACATGTATCCCCTGTTTTCTCCCAATGACCCCCTTAAAACCCATCCTCGTCCCCCGCCCCAGGCCTCCACCATCCTATTGTCTGTGTCCATGGGTTATGCATATATGCATACAAGTTTTTTGGTGGACCTCTTTTCCCCCACCCATCCCCCAACCCCCACCTTCCTTCTGAGATTCGACAGTCTATTCCATGCTTCTATGTCTCTGGATCTGTTTTGTTCAACAGTTTATTTTGTTCATTAGATTCCACATATAAGTGAAATCATGTGATACTTGCCTTTCTGTGATTGGCTTATTTTGCTTAGCATCATCCTCTCCAGGTCCCTCCATGCTGTCTCAAAGTGTAAGAGATCCTTCTTTTTTACTGCTGCATAGTATTCCATGGTGTAAATGTATCACAGCTTTTTTATCCATTCATTCACTAGTGGGCACTTGGGTTGTTTCCACATCTTAGCTATTGTAAATTGTCCTTCTCTGAACATAGGAGTGCATACACTCTTTTTGATTGGTGTTTCATGTTTCTTAGGATATATTTCTAGAAGTGGGGCTGAAACTCTGTACCCTTAGACCAACGTCTCCCCATTTCTCCCACACCCCAGCCCCAGACAACCGTAAGACTTTTAATTCTTAGTGTTGTTTACAGGGTAGAATGAAAGTGCATCTCTCTCCACTTCCCTTTTGTATACCCACATTTGTGCCATTGTTTAAACAGGAGGTGGGTGAAAATTGAGTAATTCAGAATCAGAGATGATCTAGCCAACATATTCTATCTGTAAAAAGATTTTTGAACCTCTGACCCATGGGACATGAACCAAAGCCTTTTAGCCTCAGTTAAGCCTTAACTCTTCTTGAAATGGAAAACATTTGTTGACAGCCTATCTTCTTGCCTAAAATTCATGTTTTAAATAATATTCTGAATATGCAGATGTTTGCATTTAGTTAACACTAAATTTTTTTAAAATATTTATTATGATGTAAGGAAAGTATTTCATTTTATTTTTTTGTATACTTCAGTTTTACTGAACACATTGGAAGATTGTTTTAAATTTTGTTTAAATGTTCTTTGAACCAAAATATTTACAGAACAGGGAGTTCTTCTAGCCAGCAAATTGTTCCATTTGTTGTGTTTGAGTGTGGAAACATTAGGAATGACAGCATAGATGATGCTGTAGAGCCTTTTCATAAACAACCTAATAGCATTGTCTAATGCGGTCTTTGTTTATCAAAGGTGTCAAAGACTCCTTTGCTATATTTAGGTAATCTCTAAATTTCTTTACTCAAGCATGGAAAACACTGTTTGTTTCTGCTTGGGAGGAAAGCAATATAACCAAATAAAATAATTACACTTAACTGGAAACAGTTATTAAAAGAGTCTCAGTTTCAAGAAGGAAAAAAATTATAATTTTGTTTTGTGTTTTTTTTTAAAGGGGATACCAAAATGATAATATATTTAATACCGTTTGTAAAAATATTGTGTGTGCATTTCATGAAGCTTTTAATTTATCACATAATTGTAGAGCAAATACATTTTTAATGATAACAACAACTAACACTTACGCTGGGTACTGTGCTTTCTATCTATATCCTATTTTCTAAGAGCTTATGTTATATTTATTAACTGTTCATAATTGAGTTTAAGAAATATATATTTATATAATAGTTTTAATAAGGAAGCAGTATATATTGAAGTCAACATGGGATGGCCATCACAGGCAAGAATGAGCCCAGTGTTTGTGACCTTGGAGTTTAGGAATATTTGTGTTGCCCTAACCAGTTTGGCTCAGTGGTTAGAGCACCGGCCTGCGGACTGAAGGGTCCCAGGTTCGATTCCAGTCAAGGGCATGTACCATGGTTGCGGGCACATCCCCAGTAGGGAGTGTGCAGGAGGCAGCTGATTGATGTTTCTCTCTCATCACTGTTTCTAACTCTCTACCCCTCTCCCTTCCTCTCTGTAAAAAATCAATACAATATATTTTAAAAAAAAGAATATTTGTGTTGAAGAGTGAAGTTGGATGGTTAAGATTTGAATAGAATATATGTAGATCTGGAGTACTTTAATGACAAATTCACAATTTTAGATTTAATCTAAAAGGAATTACACACACATTCATGTAATATATATCTCCAAACAGATCCCTTGTTTCATAATTAAGTTGTAATATAAATTAATTAGAATATTGAACTATATGGAATAAAAATCTTATTAGGTAAGTGTTTGTAATATATGTACCATTCCTTCTAAATCTAGTCTGGGACTATCACTAGTAATTATCTCTTCACCTCTTCTTTTATCTTATTATTGCCCTAGTTCAACTCTTTTCTCTGTCACATATAATAATTTCTTATTGCTTTTCTGGCCTCTAACCACTCCAGGTTTTGTTAAACCTATTCTTTGTAACTGTCGTAATTTAACATGCTTCCAGAATCCTCCAACAAGCTAACCAACCTTTCAATTTTATTCCAACATTCTCTGCAATACATTCTTTGTGTAAGAAACCCCACCCCCCCCAACGGGAATATATCCTGTGCCTTTTTAATGTATTTTTCTTATCTGAAATAATTTCCCAATATCCTTGTTTGCTAAAATAATAATCATTATTTATGGACTAGTTCAAATGCTTTTTCTCTTGATAACCTCATAAACTTCAGCCGGAATTATTTGTTTTTACATATGGTCCTTGGCTCTCTGTGTCTGCAGCAAATTTGTATTCATTTATAACAAAGTTGTTTATGTTCATGTTTGGTCTTTCTATCTCATTTGGAAACTCTGTTTTCCCCCTCTATTTTTTCTCTCCTAGAATGTGAAAGTCACATCTGGGCCTCTGGGTCAAGCTGGCAGAGATCTTCAGCAAATCATCTTAGAGCAATGCTACAGTTTTGTTTGCGTGAATGTAAGTAGTAAATACAAATGACCGAAAGCACTTGGGGATCTTACACATGTAATGGGGAAGAGAATCTATGTTTCTTGATCAGTAAATATTTGATTTTAAGATTTTGATAGGTGAGTTGTGTCATTTAATATGTACTTGGAAGTTTTATTTTTTATCTTTTGAAATCGGAGAATAACATTTTCTAACAAGCTAATTCTCATTATAAGGAGATGTTGATATTTCCTTGGACAGTATTTTCAGTTTTCTATTTTGTACTTGGTATAAAGCAGATAAGAATACACAGGTACGAATTAATAACTGGTACACATTTAATAGGTATAAACTTATGGGTGCTCTTTAAAATTGATTAAAAATTGAGCTTTATAAATATTTTGAGTGATTGTATAGAAGTCTCATGTTTTCTCCTTGAATTAACTTTTAAATAATTTAAGAACTTCTTTTCACCTCCTTTTACTTTTCTGGTCTTTCAGGTTATGACCTCTGCATTCGAAGAAACCCAGAAACTACTGAATATGCTTAAAGAGAGTCATCTTTCTGTTTTGTATCCTGTTGTTGTTATTTCAGTAAGTGAATTAATGCAAACTTTTCTCTCCAAACATATGCTTCCTTTTTGGAATTCAACTTTTTATTTAACACAATTCCATCAAACAGAGGAAATCCATTCAAACCCCACAGAAGAAACTCTTCTTTGTGGATTCTTGAACTTACTCTCTTACTATGAGTTCTGTCGACTGCCTCTCCTTCTTTGGTTGAACTGACAGGTTTGGAAAACAATGTAATTCAACCTAGGAACCAATTTCATTTCTTTTTCTTTATTAAAGTCTCATAATGTATTGCTGCATTGACTAGCTGTTTGGATAATGTGAAAGAGCTTTATTTAGCATATTACCAGGATCCCATTAGAGAAGAAATCCTGAAGTTAAAAAAAATGAGAGGAAAAAACCAGATGAGAGAAAATTTACTCTTAGGTTGTTTCATCTTCTCTGTTACATGGACAGCAAAAGTAGAGTGAGCAACAGATCAAAGAGAATTCCCAGAAGAATAGCCCATACAACCTTTGGAGAGATCTTTCTGTGAAAGAGTAAAAGAATTTACTTGTGTAGCAGAGGGGAATATCTGAGAGCAAAACCAAGAAGAAAGAAAACTAGAGGCGAGGCCCGCCACACTGCCTGAGGAGCCCAATCTGATCTGTAGCATTTTGCTGTGGGAAGGGGTTCCCAACATGAAATTCTCCAAACAAGTGCTTAGCAATTGCCAAGTTCCTAAAGCTCAGGCCTGTTCCATAGTGTGGAAATTTAATTCTTGTTAGTAAGAGCATTAATACAGAATAAAGATAATTCGCACTATAAAGACGTAACTCTAGACTAAGCAGTGCAAGTAGAAACAAATTAGCAATTGAAGGAGGTTTAATTCACTGCCCTGTTTGTTGTATTTGGTTATATGCCCCAAGGATAAGTTGCTTGGGTCCTGCTGATTATGGAAATCTAAGTTCCACTTGACTGATTTTAATAGATGTTTTAATTGAAGTTTTTTAAGAACGTTATGAAAATGTACCCAGTGCTGGAAGGCTCTAAGGCTCTGTAGGATAGTGGTAAGTTCAGAATTCTGTGTTTGGCTCTCTGTTCTTTTCTCCACATTATAACTTGCTTAGAAATTTCATTTGGTCCATGTTCCCAGATATTATTCTGAAAAGGCAGTACAGTGCTGTGATGAGGTCAAGGCCTGGATCTCAGAATACCTCAGTTCCCTGATTAGGTTTCTTAACTTTTATGAGGCTACTTTCTTCACTTTAGAAATGAGGCTAATAACCCTACCTCTTAAATCTTTTGGGATTAAAATGAGTGCATGCAAAGTTTAGTTGACATCACAGTACTGGGTCCTTGGCAGGCACACAATGTTAGTTTCATTTAATAGTCTAGCTCCTTTTATTTCCAGTTTGGATGAGATGACTCAAAGTGTACTTGCATCTATTCCCCAGCTTCAGTCATACATTTTTCAACATTCTATTAAGTACTTCCTTTGCTATCTTCTCACACCTGGCATATCCGATCTATCCCCCATCAAGTTGACTTTCTTAGTGGCAATGCCCTTGTGGCAGGCACCCAGGTGGGTGGGAATCTGTGTCACTTCTGAAATTTTGTTCTACCTCTGTCTCTCTTTATCAAACACACATGCACAGACAGTTTTTAAACTGTTAGTTCTTCTGTTTCTTTTCTACTGTTGTATCTCAAACTCAGTCCTTTGTATTGCTTCTGTAAATATTTGAATTTAATTTTCTATTGGCTTCTGTTGCTTTCCATTTTATGTATCCGAGTAAATGCAAGAATTTGTATGACTACCTGGTGTTCTGTATCAAACTAGGGAAAATATGGACAATCCTCTATTTATAGAGGAAACTAGTGGCCCTGTGCTCGAATCTGTGCACGAATCCATGTGCAAATCAGTGTGCGCGTAGCTCCCTGCCGCTTGCCTCAGTTGGCCACCCTGCCCACCACCACTATAGCTCTCTGCCCCTCGCTCTCGTACCTCTCCTCCGCTTGTAGCTAAACAACCCTTTGCATATTAACTCTTTATTATATAGGATGTCTTTCAGAACTAGTGTGAGTATCATAAGTCTGTATACTGTAAATCTACATTCTACAAACACTATAAAAATTTACGTTAAATTGGAGAGTTGTCACTCCAATTATTATAATTAATATTTGTTCACCTGTTATTTTCTTATTGCATAGGTAGACTCAGTGTGCTGATATTAAGGTTATTATTATTATTATTTTTTAATATATTTTATTGATTTTCCACAGAGAGGAAGAGAGAGAGATAGAGAGTTAGAAACATCAATGAGAGAGAAACATTGATCAGCTGCCTCCTGCACATCTCCCACTGGGGATGTGCCCACAACCCAGGTACATGCCCTTGACCGGAATCGAACCCGGGACCCTTCAGTCCGCAGGCTGACGCTCTATCCACTGAGCCAAACCGGTTTCGGCAAGGTTATTATTAAAATCAACAAGAAAATGTCACTGGAACATATCTAGAATCTATATCCTTAGGATGGAGCAAATCACTGGGAAAGTAGAGTAAAGAATGGATATTTACCATAGTTAGATTTCATTTCACGTTCTGCATGGGGTTTGATTGTTACAATGTCAAATTCTCTCTGGCTTTTATGAAAGTGAAATCGGTTAGGAAACAGTAAGTGTAGAAGGTTTTTTCATATCTAAGATAAAGTGGTGTAGGTAGAGGCTACTTAAAGAAAGGAACAAAACTTTACTTGAAGAGTAGAAAAAAAAATAATTGGGACTTTATCCTAAAAGAACTAGTATATTTATTTAAATTATTCTATTTTATCTTCTATTTAAGAAAATTAGGTTATGTTTGCAAAAATGAAAATTTTTTGCATAATCTTGTAGACATTATATGATAATGTGATTTTCTTCAAGTGATCATTTCTGAAAAATATTTTGTACATATTCAGTTTTGTAAACATTTCCTTTATTAATACTTTGATTATCAACATGCTCTTTTGGACTTCTATTCTTATTTTCTTTTTATATATTTTAAGTTGTGTAATTTTGCCAAGTTCTCATTTGTTGATGGTGTTGAGTATGATTGAAGGAATTTACCAATGTTAATTTGATCAACTTAATGACATCCTATGTCTTGGTAGATGTAACTTAATTTCATTGTAATTATATTGAATTATCAGAACTTTCCAAATTTCTGCAATCAGCTCAAGACTGACTAATGGGACTGTTGACGATTTTGGCTAAACTCCATGCCAGCATTAAAGTGGGCAGACATAGTTTGATGGGGTCACTTAATAAGTGCTCTGTTTCTCAGAGAATCTGTGAGGGTCTATTTTGTATCCTGTGCAATCTTTTAACTTCAGGCCTTTGGAAATATATACTCAGATAACAAGCACACCTTGTACTAGGAGAATATGCCCTACTTGAAAGAAAAACAACACTTTTTAAATTCGAGACTGATTGGCATAAAGGAATTTTAAAAATTTCGAATCCTTTCTATGTCTTTTAACAAGAACACCTTATGAACATTGAAAAACAATACTTTCTTTCGTACAGTTAAATAGTGCAGCAATTATGTTTGAGAGTCCTTTTCAGATGTGATTTCTGAAGCTGTTTAGTCCTGTTAAGTTATCATGGAGCCAGAATCTTTATCCTGAGTTGACTAAAGTTACTCTTAGCCTTCTCTTCTTTGTGGTTACCAAGGGGTATATAGTATTGCTAACACCTTTCAGTTGGCAACTCTCAAGGGTATTATCTGGAAGCTCTTTTTGAAATCATCTGCTACAATAGCCATCAACCTGGGACCTGCTCAGTTTTATATTTTCTATTCCTATCATGTGTTTTGTTCACTACTTCAATAATGATGAACAGATATTTAGAAAAACAATATATTGAATTTATCAAAATAGTATTAGGTAATTTCATAAAATTTCTGATATAAAAATCACTTGAAAGAACATAGGCTTTTGTCTAAATTAAACAAAACTCAAAAGTGCCAAGAGTGAATTATAGGCTGAATTCTTGGCTTAGAATGATTTGTTATTTTGTGTGTGACAATGGATAAGAGAGTTTCAGGAGACAAAACTAACTACATCTGTTTTTCTAGTCAAGATTATGAGAGCTCTGAAAAATACCTCCACAGGTTTAGAAAGTAAAATAGGGATTCTAATTTATTTGGATCTGGTAGTATTTTTACAAAATATCCCTTGGTACTACTATCAGATGAGACAATGAACAGTATATTCTTATTTAAAGGTTATTTTTTTTTCAATGAACATAGCCCAAAGTAATTGGCAACAAATCTAAATAGAAGTTCAAAATTGAAACAAACTCTTTAATTTTACTTAATGAAGTAGTTTATCACTCTTCTACAGCAAAATAATTTTACAATAACTATTTGGACAGTTACACAAGAGTTCTTTCCTCTGACAATTTAGACAACTTTATTGGCGCTTTATGAGAGATAAGAATCTCCTCATGAATTCACTCCAACAAAACATAAATTATCATGTGGGATTTTAATGCTTTGAAAATTTTAAATAAACCTTCAAAAGTGCCTAATTTGGTTCTAGTTACTGGAAAGTAGTTTATTGACATAAGAGATCAAAATATATGATATTTAAAATATTTCAAAATGTTTACTATTTGAACATGTCAGCAAATAAAAAAATAGAAAACCATCATCCATTGGCACTTGATACTTTTCACATCTGGGGGAACTGTCACAGAGATGTAAATTGTTTCCAGAAGGTTCTACAACTCACCAATGGCAAAGCCAGGAACAGAATCAATCCAATATGCAGTGTATCAAATACACTTGTTACTTTTATGTGTTAAATAATAAGATGGAACAAGATTAAAAATATACATATACACACATATATGAATTTAATATTTCTTCCTAATAAAGAACAAATGACAATTGAAAAAGCATATACATTCCTTCTTTTAAGTGCTAATGAGTTCTTACTTTAGCTTCACAGGGTATTGAGCCTTTATTGAATTTAATTTTTAAACCATGTGATCCTGTTAAG